CGGTTTTTGCTGAAAGACGGCTAGCAAAAGCAACTAAAAGCAAAACAAAACAAAAGGAGAAATGTTTTCCCTTTTGCAACCAAGGAAATGAGAAAGGGAAAGAGGAAAGAGAAAGAAAAAGAAGGGAAGATGGGAAGAGAGCAGTGGTGGCATTCAAACATTTTTACTACTGGTTCTGTGGGCGTGGCTTGGTGGGCATGGCTTGGTGGGCATGGCTTGGTGGGCATGGCAGGGGAAGGATACTGTAAAATCCCATTCCCTCCCCACTCCAGGGGAAGGATACTGCCAAATCCCCATTTCCTCCCGATCAGCTGGGACTCGGGAGTCAGAGAATAGATGAGGGCGTGGCCAGCCAGAGGTGGTGTTTACTGGTTCTCCAAACTACTCAAAATTTCCGCAGCCGGTTCTCCAGAACCGGTCAGAACCTGCTGAATACCACCTCTGGATGGGAGCAAGGAAGGAAAAAAATATGGAAAGAGGGGAAGGAAGAAGAAAGGAGAATGAAAAGGGAAGGGAAGGAAGATTATGAGAGGGAGGGAGGGTGTGTGGGAAATCCTGCCTTAGCACAGATGCCCCCAACATGAGTGATGTTGAGCTAGCCACGCCCCCCCCCCCAAGGTCAAACACAACCCTGATGCAGCCCTCAATGAAATCAAGTTTGACACCCCTGTACTAAGGTGAGCCTTGTCCCTTGAGGTTGGATAACAAAGAGGACACTGCTGAATACTTTGGTCCTTTGGGATTTCTTCTGAGAAAAGCAACTGGTTGTGGCGAAAGGAAGGAAGGAAGGAAGGAAGGAAGGAAGGAAGGAAGGAAGGAAGGAAGGAAGGAAGGAAAGAAAGAAAGAAAGAAAGAAACTAAGCCATCCCAACCAAGGCTGGGGGATTAGTCATCCAGGATATAGGAAGGAACTGAATCCACAGTGTGTTAAATGTGGAAAGTAAACAGAGAGAATCGTAGGATGCACGAACAACTAAGGGAATGAGGTAAGCCTAGCCTATCAAAGAGAAGGATTAGGGGAGACATGATGACTGTCTTCCAGTATTGGGGGGCTCTCACAGAGAAGAGGGGGGTCAACTTATTCTCCAAAGCAGCAGAGGGCCTAAGAAGTAGTGGGTGGAAACTTGTTTTTTTTTTTGTAAAAAGTTTTTTCCTTTCAAATTCATTCTTAGATATACATTCTTATAATTGTTATTTAACATGTCAATATCATTTTTCCACCTGTATATTTACATTTTTATATTTTCTTATTTCCCCTCCCCCTATTTTAATCATGTGTCGTCTTGAGATATTTATTTTTCTTTCTATTTATATCTTTTTTCAAGCCACTCGTAAAATCGCCCCCATGTCCTGTTAGTACACTGATTCCTTTTTGTCTTTTATTCTCAATGTCAACCTATTCATTTCTGCACAGTCTAATATTTTCTTTATTATACTCCCCTTCCGATGGGATTTTGTCTGCTATGGGGTGGAAACTCGTTAAAGAGAGATCCAGAGATCTCTAGATCGATCGAGAGATCGAGAAAACCCTAGAAGAAGTAAGGAGAAATTTCCTGACAGTGAGGACAATGAAGCAACGAAGCAACCCAAAGAAAGGAATGTCTCAATTAAAGGATCCCATGAGCTGCAGTGGCACAGTGGTTAGAGTGCAGTACTGCAGGCTACTTCCACTGACCGCCGTCTGCCTGCAACTTAGCAGTTCGAATCTCATCAGGCTCAAGGTTGACTCAACTTTCCATCCTTCCGAGGTGAGTAAAGAGGACTCAGATTGTTTGGGGGCAATAAGCTGACTGTAAACGGCTTAGAGAAGTATTAAGTCTAAGTGCTATTACCATTCCTTCCTTCCTCCCTCCCTCCCTCCCTCATTCCCTTTCTCATTCTCCTTCCTCGTGGCGCAGTGGTCAGAATGCAGTACTGCAGGCTAATTCTGCCCACTGCCAGCAGTTCGATTCTAACTGGCTCAAGGTTGACTCAGCCTTCCATCTTTCCGAGGTGGGTAAAATGAGGACCCAGATTGTTGGGGTCAATAGGCTGATTCTATAAACCGCTTAGAGAGGGCTGTAAAAGCACTGGGAAGCGGTATATAAGTCTAAGTGCTATCGCTATTGGTTTTCCTCTAGATCAAGTTATGCTACAGAGAGATGAGAACTCCAATAATATAAATGAACGCATAAAAGAACCACCAGAATAGGAATTGACAGATAAGTGAATTACTTCTAAAGCATGATGTGGATGGAGAACTCACTGAATCCAGTAGTGAATTCTTCTAGAGTAAGAGAGCCATTGCCATCTGCATCCAGAGTGTTAAATACTTTCTCCAGCTCTTCAGGAGCAAGTGGTAACTCACCATGGAGCCTCTAAAACGACAATGTTTTTCCTCAGTTACACAGACGTTGCGTGTAAACTAAAAGGTTAGTTTTGAAAAGATCTCAAAAACAAAAATGACAAATAATTTAGGTGAACAGAAGATTGCTTTTCTTTTTACCCAGTGGGATTGCAACTATCTACCATATTTTTGGACTATAAGACGCACCATGATTTTGAAGAGGTAAATTTAAAAAAAAGTTGTTGCACTCTGCAGGCCTCCCAAACCCTCTGCATGCTTCATTTTTTGCACACAAAATGAGCATGCAGAGCTTTGGGTGGGAAACAAGCTAAAATGGCCCATTTTTCACAAAACAGCCCATTTTTTGCCCCCCAAAAGGCATATAGACCTTTGGGAGGCTGGTAGAGTGCTCCTGGAGGCTGGGGGGGGGGGGGCAAGCAAAAAAATGGCCCATTTTCTGCTTGCTTTTGCCCTCCCCAGCCCCCAGGAGCACTTTGCAAGCCTCCCAAACCCGCTGCACGTCCGTTTTTGCAAAGGGGGCTGGGGTTTCTGTAGGCCAAAAATGCTGTATTCAGTGTATAAGATGCCCCCAGATTTTCACCCTCTTTTGGGGAGTGAAAGGGTGCATCTTATACTCCGAAGAATACAAAATTAGGAAATAAGCCTCATTAACTCATGAGGGTTTCAGCCTGTGTCTTACTAAGATAACCTCTGGAGTCAGACACGGTTAGAAAGATACCAAAGAAATTTGGAACCTATGAAGTGTCTAAATTAAATAGCCATCAGTGACACCAAATTCTGCAGATATGACGAAGCGCACGCGAAGCGAATCGTTAGCAACGGCAGTTGGAACCCACGCCTTCTCAAGACCGTTGCAGCATCCTCATGGTCGCGTGATCAAAATTCAGACGCTTCACAACTGACTTGCATTTATGACAGTTTCAGTGCCCCCCCCCTCCCCCCGGATCATGGGAACGCCTTTTGTGGCCTTCTGGCAAGTTAAGTCTATGAGGAAGCCAGATTCACTTGACAGTCAACGTTACTTAAACAATACATAAGCCAACCCTCATTAGGGACTTCCTGGTAGATTTACATCCTTCATCCTGTATGTTATCTCTCTTGTGTTGAACTAATTTACAGCCAAGTAATAAAGTGGTAGAGCCAGTTTGGTGTGATGATTTAAGATATTAGGCTAGAACCATGAGTTCTAATCCCACTTTAGGCACAATGCCAGCCGGGCAACCTTGGGCCAGTCGCTTTCTCTCAACCCTAGAAAAGGAGGCAATGGCAAAATATTTCTGGAAAACTTTGCCACGTAAACTGCAGGGACATGTCCAAACAATCTCCAAGAATCAGCTATAATTTTTTTTTTAAAGTTGTGAGAAAAATGTTATTCATTTTTGCTGGCTCCCAACTATAACTTCAAACAGGAGGGGCAAATGGGTCCTTGAGAAACGAATCTACCTTTTGCAATTTACCTGCATGTCCTGGCGAGCAATAAACCCCTTCCCTTCCACATCGCAGATCCGAAAGAATTCGTGTGCTTTGGCGAACACATCCGACTGGCTTCCCGAGTCACCTTCTACTTTGCTGCTTTCTGGATCTCTCTGCCGATGAGCAACACGCCTTTTCGGACTGTCCATCTTCACGGGTTTTCATGAAGTTGCCATTTCGTTAAGTCTCAAAACGCAGCCCACGAGCTGAAGAGCGAAAGAAGACAGAGAGCAGATTAGAACAGTTCTTTGTGATGAATTCTTTTTGCAACCACTCCTACCAACAGCTTCTGAAGTAGCAGAGAGAACTGCCTAAAAGGTAAACATACAGCCAGTTTGACATTCTTATTAAGCTAGATGAGTTGACGTTGTTGTTTTATTTGTTTTATAAGGATGTGCTGAATCTCGAGACTATGTTATTCGCCAAACTCAACAAAAACTCCTTAAGGACGTCGAGCATTAAGCTAATGTCAATCAATCAGTCAATCAATCAACCAGAACAGAGCTGGAAGGGATGTTGGGGGGTCTTCTAGTACAACCCCTGGCTCAAGCAGGATACCCATTTCAAACAAATGGGTTTCCAATCTCTTCTTAAGAACTTTCAGTGTTGGAGCACCCACAATTTCTGGAGGCAAGCTGTTCCACTGGCTAATTGTCCTCACTGTTAAGAACTTTCTTCTCCCTCCATTCCATTGCTTCTCTCCTTGATCAATTTCCACCCATTGTTTTTTCTCTTGCCTTCTGGTGCAAGTTACATCATACCATCATATCATCAGTTACATCATATCAACTAAAAGTTATTTGCTGTTCTTCTGCCGATGAGGCAAGCTAGCGGAATGTGGGCTTAGTAGAAGGTTGTTGGGGAAATCCATAGCTCGCACTAAAACTGTGCTCAGCAACAGTTCAACAAATGAGGAAAATCTATTAGGAAATAACTTGCTGATGCCCTTAAAAGTTAGAAATCAGGTTTGTATAAAATATTCCTATAATTTGCAAGGAAGTTATTTTTTTCCCCCGCCACAGCTATTTTGCACAAATCTCTAAATATCATTGATTCAAGGAGAGAGGTTTCTAGAAATATATAGGTTGCATTGTGCCAGCTATCAGCAAGAGAATTGTTACATTGCACCATCACAAAACATCTATAAAAATTGAAAAGCCACATGAAAATTAAGAACCAAAGTTTATTGCCAAATGTTTCCAAAAGCAATTCAACCATCCAGCCCTAATGGGTGGGTGGGGGAATCACAGGATGCCATCACTTCCTAGGCAGTTGTTTCATGATTTAATAGCTCTTACATCAGGAAATTCTATTCAGTGGCGGGATTCAGCCAGTTCGCACCTATTCGGGAGAACCGGTTGGTAACTTTCTAAGTAGTTCGGAGAACCGGTTGTTAGAAGAAATCTCCTTTTGTTTTTTTTCCACTTCACAGGGCTAATCCTGTAAGGAAGGCAGGAAGGAAACATCCTGGTGTTGTTTCTAGCCTA